TTTGATATTATTAATCAAATGAAAAGAGGTTGCAACGTTTCCATGGGGTATATTTTATTTGTACTCGGATTTACTCGAAGGTTGCTCATTGTTGAAATTAAGCAAATTCGTGTTTTGACAATTTTTAAAAATCAACCCTTAAGGATGAAATGTTGTTGCTACGTTTGTATTTGAAATCTAAGATGGCGACATTACATAAAATAAAAACGTTGTAAGGGTGAATTGGGAGTTGAAAGGTTTTATGGAGAAACAATATTAATTTCTGAGAGCGAAGCCGCGGGGAAAAGCTAATTTCAAATAAATCACATCTCTGGTTTTAACATGTGTGAGGTTCAACCACCAATTGCGATAACTTCTTAAAATCTAGTATTTTTTTGTTGATGGTTTGAATAAGCTCTTTGTATTAATTATAATAACTATAATTACAAATTACATTCTATTGTTTAGCTTATCTAGAATCGAAATGATGAAAGATTTTCTATTATTAAGTGTATATCGCGTACAAATTGCAACAAAAAAAGAACTAATTAACCAAGTTGAATCAGCACAAAGATGGGAGTTGCAATTTACAGCTATATTTACAACGCAAATTCAGTAGAATAATAATTAATGAATGATCGGTTTGTTCGATAGGAAGTGAACAAAACAAAATAAAACGTACACACTGTTAATTAATGCTTTATAAGTAACTGTAAATTTGCAACAGATTTCTTTACAATTATCACAGGTGCACAGCAATTCGAATCAACAATCCCTTAATTTCAAGAAGTTGAACGACTTGTAAACCGTTTAAAATCAGAAATGATAAAGTGAGGTAATCGTCTATGCATTTAAAACATTGAAGTTACGATAAAAAGATATCATATCTTTCGTACTTATTATTATACATAACTATTGATGGTTTCAAAGCATGATGCAATTCATTTAAACATATTTAACACCACAAGTGTGTAAATTGTTACGTAACTGGGCTAGTTAATTTATATTGAATTAGTATCTTAATTAAAAAATATTTCTATCAATCTATAAAAGACAAACATATTTCCATTTAAATTTATGAAATTTTGCGTTGAAATAACTGTTTTCAACAAAACTTAAATTACAGCCTCAAGTTAAGTTCAGTTCTAAGAACAAAGTAAAAAATTTAATTGTTAGTGTATAATAGTAATAAACTGATGAAGATATTTATTATTATTAAGTCTTTTCCATTTGCTCCAAAAAAATTCGGTTACAAGCTTATTATTTCCAGCAATACTTATAACTCTCGAGTAACTTTAATCATAGATAAGGTTTAGATTGCCTTTTATGATACATATGACGATGTTATTTAACTTTTTAATGTGTTTGAACAACTAATTTAGTTTGCACATCCCATGTATGCAAATATAGATAGGTTCAAATAAAAACGTATTCTCTGTAATAGTCATTAATGTGGTTTTGAAATTTACTATTTATCTTAGATAAGGTACTTCTTTGTATAAAAGCTATTGCAATGCTTATAAGATGTGTCTTTATTAATGAATTATGTATTTATTTATTTATTTATGAATTATCATATGTTAAAAACAAAAGTAAAATCACTTTTAGTTGCAATATTATATCCCTACTTCCCTGTTTCTACTTTTATCAATACTGCAAAATGCAAAAAATTATCTTAAATAGAACACGAAACAGATAAGAGAAATGTAACAACTTCAATAAACTGAAGGATTATTTTTAAAGATAAAACTGGAAAAACAATATATGCAACTTTTCTTGTATGTAAGATTGAGAAAAATATATAGATTTTTAACCAAAACTTTTTTTTCAAATTATTATAATGTATAATAAAATGTTTTTTGGTCAATTATCAAACCTCTTGTCAATTTTATAATTAATGTTAACAATTAAACAACAAAATGATCAACAATTAATTAATAATGGTCGACAATACCAACAATATGACAACAATTGAAAAGCAAAATGGTCGACAATAGCAACAACTGAAAGAGTATAATGGCCGACAACAGCAACAATAAGACAACAATTGAAAAGCAAAATGGTCGACAATAGCAACAACTGAAAGAGTATAATGGCCGACAACAGCAACAATAAGACAACAATTGAAAAGCAAAATGGTCGACAATAGCAACAACTGAAAGAGTATAATGGCCGACAACAGCAACAATAAGACTACAATTGAAAAGCAAAATGGTCGACAATAGCAACAACTGAAAGAGTATAATGGCCGACAACAGCAACAATAAGACAACAATTGAAAATCAAAATGGTCGACAACAGCAACGACTGAAAGAGTATAATGGCCGACAAGACCGACAATATGACAACAATTGAAAAGCAAAATGGTCGACAGCAGTAACAATTGAAAGAGTATAATGGCCGACAACAGCAACAATAAGACAACAATTGAAAAGCAAAGTGGTCGACAACAAAAACAATTGAAAGAGCATAATGGCCGACAACAGGGACAATATCGCAGCAATGGGCAAATATGGAGGACAATTGAGAACTAATCTTATATACATGAATTTTATAAACTTTGTTTTTAATAACAGTAATGGAAATTATTAAAGCAAATTAATATATAGTCTCTATTTCCTATTATTGACGTTACCATTACTGTTTTATCATAATTTTATTTGATTTATTAAATTTGTTGTACTTATAGGACCTATCCAAAATAAAAAATTTGAAATATTTTGAAAAAAGTTACATTGACTTCATTAGTTATACCTAAAAAATTTAAAAACAGTAACGTACATATTAATATTGAAATCAATGCGCCAAAATCGAATAAATAGTTTCTTGCCTGTTATGCTACACACAGACACAAACATAGAAATCGAAAATCAAAAAGTCAATCAAGTAAAATCTATTTTCTTCACTTACCTTTGGCGATGCTGCAATATTGTTCACGGTCGTAATCGTTGCAGACTCCACAACTTCCTCAACTTCTTCAGAACTCCTGAACATTTTCTTGTGGACCAACTTAAATTCATCCATAAGTTTTGTGTGGTGTGTCTGCTGATTGGTACTGATCCCCTTCAGAATTTTCTTTTTCTGTAGTTCTTCATCTATGCTCGGCTTGTTCTTCATTTCAGTACATTTCCTCTGCAACAAAGTTACCATATGAAACATACTTCATTAATTTATAATTTTAATTAATTGTCTTACCTGCATTCTCCTCTGTATCTCCAGACTGAGAGCACTGGATAAAGTGGAGGAGTCGCAGTTTTCAGCTGGCACTTGTTTTTTTTGGAATGGCGGACTGTTTTCCAAGTCTTTCCTGCTGTTATCAATCTTATGAACTTCGGCAACGACAGTCTTTGTTTCTTGGTTATTCACTGCCGATGATGATGATGATAACCTCATGTCAGCGATTTTATTTGAAACTGCTCTAGTTAAGGTTGAGTTTTCGTCCATGAAGTCGTTCAAAGTTTTGGTATCTTTGAAGCTCACAACCGTCGTTTTGTATGGTGGTTTAGGTTCTTCTTCCCACACTTCTTCTTTCCATTTCTTTGACGATTTCAATTGGCACAGTCTGTCTTCTAATTCTGTGGACTCTTCTTTGACTATTGAAAGCCTTTTCGAATCTGACCAAGAAGGACTCTGATCTCCTGTAACGGAACTTGCAGAACTGTTGTATCCACTCGATTCCCCAGGAAACAGCTCGCATGGTGGAGACTTTCGGACCACAAGATCCAATTGTCGAGCGGATTTCATCAAATTTACTGCCTGAAAATTGAAATCAACATTATTAACACCTAGGAACGATTGAGGAAATGTCAATTTTTTGTATTACCTCATTGAATGGAATATCACTGAAGTCGACATTGTTGCAAATGAGAATTTGGTCTCCTGGTCGTAGACCAGCCTCTCTGGCGATGCCCCCCTCCTTTGTAAATTGTACAAAGATTCCTGGTTTCCAATCGGGACCCTTGCAAATCCTGTTTTAAATGAAATTGTTGTTTAACACTTCAAATTATAGATTTGATTGGTACAAACCCGCAGCCCAGTTTCGTTCGTGGTGCCACCATGATGCTGATTCTCACGTCGTGAATTTTTTCACTTAATTGAGGAGATGACCTTGTGGATGAACTGCCTTCCGAAATAACTGTCCACGTGAGAGGGTCTGTACTCTTACTGTAATTAATTTACTATTTATATTAGGAAGAATGAAAAGGAAACGTGCAAGAACTCGTAAAATTATTTTTTTTTTAATATGTACTTACTCTTTTATTGGAATCATTCCAACACCTAGAAAGACAAAAGAAAACTAATTAGAATTATTTACAAATCGTTAAGTTGCATATAAAGGAAAATCGCTTATAGTGGACAAAATAAAAGCTACTGCAGTAAATTTTCTCTGCAAGATTTTATAATTTGTCATGTTTTCAATTAAAAGAACAAAAGCGATGATGAAAAGATACGAAAACGTAATTTTTTACTCATGTGAGAAGAATTGGGAAAATTTATTATTAGTAGCTGCTATTGCAATTACAAATATGAGAAGCGGCAAACACCTACATGCTCTAAACAAACGTTAACTATTATTCAAAATAATATTATTACATATATATGTTGGTGTGGATTTTCTACGGTTATTATCATGAAAGTCAAACAAGAAAGTTAGAACTTATTAAAGGCGTAGTCTATTGTTTTAATATAATGCACACGTAGGCCGGGCTGAAATTGATTTGCACGTCTACATATGCATTGAAGATGGAACACAATCTTCATTGTTATTTACAATTCATCATGACAACAATACTATCCACATATTTAGTAATCGGTATCCCACTAAGGCATCTTACTTTTGCTGTCCTGCTTACAATCCTGTATGAAGTACCTACAGTTTTCACTACTAATGTAGGTGTATGTTTGGAGTACGGCGCTGTACGGGTGCGAAATAAGGACAGTGGGCGCGGCGGAAAATAAAAGGTTAGAAGCGTTCGAAATGTGGTGTTACAGGCGAATGATGAGGCTACTGTGGATAGAGAAGGTTAGAAATGAAGGGATATTAGAAAGAATAGGAGAACAGAGGACTCTATGACAGTAAATAATAAATAGGCGAGATAGGTTAGTAGGACACCTTCTCAGGCATGAAGGTCTAGTCAGAGACATATTAGAAGTAGAAACAGGAGTTAAGAGGGGTAGAGGAAGATCTGGATTAGATTACTGTTCGCAAATAGTTGAGGATACGGGTTGTTCAAGTTTTAGACCGAGCGGAATGGCCTAGAGGTCTAGACCATTGCTTAGCATTCGGGAGGACGCCGGTTCGATTCCGGGTCCGTCTGCCTTGGTCCAAGTTTTTCTGTGGTTTCCTTGGATCACTTAGGCAAATGCTGAGGCAGTAATATTCCACAGATA